TCCTCCTCCACCATAGCTGCCTCCACCGCTGTATCCGCTGTGAAATGGAATGAATGGGCCAAAGACAAAAAACACGTGGTATTGGTTACTGAAAAGACGTAGACAACGGCCTTTTTCACTTTGTGCTACTTACCCGCCGCTGCTGCTGCCGCCGCCGCCGCCACCGTAGCCTCCGCCTCCAGATCCTCCGCCGTAGTACGCCATTTTCAAGTCTATAAACAGTCAAACAACAAGCTCTTTCTTGGTCTTCTTTTGCCACTCGATGCGAATGACAGAAAACAATTGTAATGAATACGCCTCGTTGGAGACACGACGCAACGACGAAGAACTTGTGGTCCTGCGACGACTGGCGGTCACGTCAGCAGCGTGACTCCAAACGTGATTCGAACGCAACGATCTGATCTTTTCTTTTCCCTTTCTCAACTCTCAATTCTAATCTTCGCCCTCACCTCCCACAACTCTCACTATTGCACTGAAAAGAGGCACAACAAATGAGCGACGACAAAGACAACATGACAGATGATTGCAACCGAGTGGAGAAACGCAGCCTATTGGAATCCTCCAATGTGACTCCAGCTCCACCTTCTGTCAATCGACCGATCCCCGTTCCTTCCGTCTACCTCGACGAACGAGGGGAGATTCACAATCTCCAAGTGGGTGGCCTTCGAATCAACTTGCTCTCTTCGAAAAAAGGTGTCATGAGATCGGGAGACATTCATCAAAACACACAGCATGACTTTGTCGTCAAGGGAAAAGTTGAAGTGTGGAAGTTGACAGCCAATGGGACGCAAAAGACAATCTACCATTCCTACGACTACGTTCGCATCGAACCCTTTGTACCACACATTTTTCATTTTCTGGAAGATACCATCATGGCCGAGTGGTGGGAACCACAGGGTTTCTATGCCTGGTTCTATGAACCGTATCGAAAACTTGTGCAGCATTCTTTTCAGAGGACGTGTCCAGGACGGTTCCAGCTATGGAAAGCAGATAGCGATGATGAGGGAGGCTGCAGTTCCTCGACGGCAAGCATTGGAATTATATCACTGGCACTTGCTGCAGGTGTAACTATTGGTTACGTTTTGGGTAGACACAACAGCAGCTCTCGCTACTAAACAGATTGATTCCACATACATTTCGTCAAAGAATCAGAGTACTGGTAGGTAATACGAAACTCTGGTTAGTTTAACTTTTCGTGTTCGGAGTAGGATTCAATTCTTCAATACGTGCTGGACGTCGATCTTTGATCTGATGGCTGCTGATCTGGAAGACAACAGGTTCGAATTGAATTTCATTCGGTGTGCTGAGAGGTTACCGGTAGAGCATGATACTTCTGAATGCGTGGGAATCGAATCGGAACATGGACGAACCAAACTTTCTTCTTGGAAAGGACAACTCTCAAGTAACGTTGTTTACTGCCTTTTCTTTCCCATTACATCTCCAGCAAAGACCGAAAGGACCGATTCCAATATCCATCGAGGACTGTAGCAGGCCGCGGCATAGCCGAGGCTGAAAGACACCAACACAAAGGGCACTGGCTTGACCAGCAACGTCATGTAGGTGTAGCGATCGAAAATGGCAGAGAGAATGGACCGCGACCGACCACGACGACGCTCGAGTACCGGAACGGTCGTGCGATTGACAATGTAGGCAACGGATCCCATACCAAAGACTGACAGGTACAGTCGAAGTGGTACCTTGTCGACGGAGCGGCTCACAAAGTTCCGATTATCGCAGAGTCCCATGTGGACACCAGCCACCGAAAAAGTACCACCTAGCAAGGCCGAAGAGATCCAATTGCCCATTCTTGTACTTCTCAATAAAGCTGCTCTTTGCTCAAGATGAGTTCAATCAAGCCAATACACGGGAAAAGGCAAACTTTCTTTGCGGACCTGCAACGGAATGATCACATCATGTTCGATATTGCCAGTTCGTTTCGTTTCTTCGTCACAAGTCACCAACGGCAAAGAATTGACCCTGAATGGAAGAAACGGCCCGAGAGTAGTGTGAACATTGCAAATTGCAGCCAAAGCGAAATGTTCCTTGCTCCTTTTGATGTCTTCAGAAACCAACCTGGCAACGATGCGACGATGTTGGGGTCCACTTGTGTGGTGCCGATTACCTCCGGATAAACCCACCACCTCGGTGTCCTTGCAGCCAAGCTGCATTTGCTCACGCCTGTCATCCCTGTTTCTGGCGCCAAATCCGGCCGTCATTCATTTTTTGAATGTGAACCATCGCATTGCTGCCACAATGCCACAATCGAAGCACATGATGTCTTGCTGGCCCATGATCTTATTAGTTAGACTAGTTGCTAATATTGGTGGTGTTGTACTGTTTTATCAATGAACCATGCCCCTGTTTCCAGAGACCGACGATGGCTTTGTAGGCTACGTGGAGAAATCCCATGATCCAGGTTATAGTCTCATCTTTGCCACCATTTTATTTTGCATCATTATCTATTGCTCCCTGCCCTTTCTCGTGTCCTTGGGTTTTCGCCTGGAAATCAAGAACCAGATCAATCAAGAAAAGAGACAGCGCTGGAAGGCTCAACCACGACCACAGTCCACTAGGAGCAGCAACAACAACAACAACAATGTGCCAATCATTGCTACTTCGGAGTATGACGGCAGCGTCGATCCAATTTTCGAAGCCACAGAAGGCCCACCATCACCCATGAGTGTAGTATCGGGTCGATCGGCAATCTCTTTGACTCCCAGTGTTTCCTCCCTGGTTTCCCTGCACAGCCAGCGATCACGCAAAAGACGCCGTCGAAAGCGCCACAACAAGCGCATCATGGAGAAGAAAAATGAATGGGTAGAGTTTGAACTCAGAATGCAACGCTATGATGCCTATGCGGATAGTGTCATCAATGGCACGGACGACGCGGCAACCAACAAAGCCGAAGAGAACGCCATTGTGAAATTAAGTGATTCTCCCACCAGACGGCCAAAGAGCCGAGATCAATCGCCTGTGCGTTCTGTCATGGGGTCGCTCGATCAAGATGCCTTATCGTTTGGCGACGCCGTCAGCATCACGACATCCAGTCCAGCACGGAAAGGATACCCACCCCCGCTGCGGGACCATCTCAAAACTAATCAACCGGATGATGTCAACCCGGCTGATGAGGATACTTCCTTGTGGAATACGCTTTTGGATCTTGCCGTGTGGGATTTTGAAAGCAAACGCATCATCAAACTGGCGATTCCTTTTGCAATACAGTCACTTTCCACTGGAATCCTGGATATTATCACAGCAGCCGTGATTGGAAAGGTCCTTGGTACCAGCGAGATCTCCGCCTTTGTCACCGTGAGAGGGTTGATTCATGTTTCATCCAGCTTCTTTGGAGGGTACCATGAAAGCATTGCCGTCTTGTGTAGCCAGGCCATGGGTAAAAACAATGTGAAACTGGTCGGACACTACGTTCAGCTGTCCATGATACTCTACGTGGTCTCCTACATTCCCTTTGTGATCCTCTGGTGGGTGTCCATGCCGTCCATCCTGGAGTGGCTTGGATTTGACCAGGACACGGTTGACATTGGACAAGGATATACCCAGGTCTACTTGTTTTTGGAGCTGTTGGATGGTGTCGATGAGAGCGTTCATGGATTGCTCGATGTCATTGACTTGGAATCCTACAGCACTTTGATTGGTGTCTCGCAGGAAGTCATTACATTCCTCGACATTCTGGCAGCTACATTCATAGCCAAGCCCAGTCTCTATGTCATTGGTTTGATTGAGTTGTTTGTGTCAATCGTCTTTTTGATTGTCAATGTTGGCATCATTATCTGGCGTGGCTGGTTCCGACCATACCGAGAGGGATTGATTGGCAGCTGTGCATTGTACAACAAAACAGCTGTCAAGTTGATGTTGTCCACATCATGCTCCCTTTCCATAGGATACCTCTTGACCGATGGAGAGGTAAGATGTTGGTGCGGTTTGTTTGAGGAAAGTTTTCGAGGTGCTTACACGTTGCTGCTTTTTCACAGTGGGAAATCTTGACTTTGTTTGCAAAGTACATGGGCCCTGCAGAAGGTAAGTGACCCACAAAGCATGCTATGGATAAGATGTAAGCCCTGTTGCAATGCCAACTCATCACTCTTTGTTCTCCTCAGTGGTTGCTTGGGGCATTCTCGGCTTGATGTTTGAGACAATCGAAAGATTTGTCGAGGCAGTGGCCGACGCTAGCGAAGTTCGCGTAGCATTTCTGCTTGGGTCTGGCCAGCCTGCCAGGGCGAAGCGCTCAGCGTACAAGTCCCTCATCATGGGTGTGTTCTTGTCCTTTTTCCTCACTTCCATCTTGTTCATTGCTGGCGACAATATTGCAACTTGGTTTTCAAATGACCCGGCATTGCAACATATCGTTGCGGACCTGCTTCCATTGCTTGGCATTGGGAATGTCACACTGACCTTGTGTACAATCTGCTGGACACTCGTTGGCGCCCAAGGCAGATATCGTCTGGCTACGTGTATTGCCGCCGCGACGAGCTGGCTTGTGACTCTACCATTGGCAGCGTTGTTTACGTTTGCGTTGAATATCAATCTGCAAGGACAAACTGCTGCGGTGGTGATTGGCGACATGGTGTCAGGGACAATCTTGGCATACTTTTTGTTTCGATCGGACTGGGTGGGTTTGTCTGAAGCAGTCCAAGACGCGCACGAGGCTGCGGAAGTTGGACCCCCTGAATGGGATCAACAGTCCGCTTCTCCTAGCGTTACTTATTCCAAGCCCTCAACTCCGAAAACAGCTACCGGTAGCCCCGAAAAGGATGAGGTTGGAGATGGACTCCTCAACAGTCCAAATCTTGGCTTGCTTGGCACTCTTGCAGAGGGCAATCCAGGCGAGGAGTCGTTCATGAGTGCCAACTCTGGAGATCTAGATTTCATCACTCCTCAGGCCACTCCTACAAAACAAGAGCTTGTCTAATAAGCTCGTCAACTCGCAATCCACCATACTAGCTCAATTGAAAGGCTGCCATATGCAGTGCACTCCTCTCAGCCTCCAACACAACGCTATTCTGTTCACGTCATCTAGCTAGGAGATAATTATTTTCGGAACAAACTTTTCAGATGCGCTGATAGCAAGTCGTCATCCTCAATGTTCCTTTCTTCGCTTTTGCCGTTCAATAAGACACCGCCGCACTGTTGCAACAATGCACTACCATACATGCACAAACACTGGTCTAGCTACTAGTAGAGCTGAAGCCCAGCAAGAGCCAATTCTTGGCAGCGTTTATGATGCAAACACTACAGTGAGAGATGGTTCAGTATCATGTGCAACATGCATTTTCCAAACATCCAAATACAATACATCGCAATTCAAACAGAATATCCGTCAATGCAAAATTTTATTGGTCACACGTCGACTGTCGAATGAATGATGGCTGAGGACAGTGCTCTTTCTCTCTGGCATCCTCCACGTAGTCTCTATTAGGATCACAGTTTACGGAAGAATAGCGTCAGCGTTTTTGTATTTTTCTACTCTTGTTGTTCATCGGACGCCTCTGGATTGTCACCCTCGGGACCTTGCTCGTCTTCCTCCGGTGTGGGCTCTCCCGGCTGTTCCTCCTCGCTGCTGGGATTCGTACTACTCGTAGTAAGAGGAGGTGTCCCATGATCCTTCTCTTCTTCTTCCTGTCCAAATGACCAATTCTCTGGTGACACTGGATTCTTGCCCCCGTATTTCTCTGGCAATGCTTCTTCTGTCATGTGTTTGTAAAGTCTTTTCCGTTCTTCTTCGTTGTCGTTTGGATTGATCATATCGAATTTGGCCACAACTCGTTCGGGTAGAATGACACGTACAATACCCCAAATAATCTTGACGACAGCTGGTGGATTGCACATGAAAATGGATTCTAACATTTGGGGATAACAGTCTTCCATGACACCCATGGCATTACCATCCCGGCGACTGCACTCCCGATTGAAGTTTCCCCAACCGATGCCCTTTGCGTCCACAAAGCGGATGGATCGCGTCAACCGTCCCGTGGTGCGAGTGACATAGTCGTTCCATTGAAAGGACCATTCGGCACAGTACATGAAAATGGCCAACCAGTAGTCTTCTGTGAGCGACTCGACTGTCTTGTATTGGTCCATACTGGTTAGTTTGAGAAAGCAAATGACTCCTCTCTGTGGATCAGGATGTGTGAATATGAGGGCATCTTCTTTCCAACACTGCAAATAGTCAAAGACTTTGCCTTCTTTGACTTTATGGGGTGGTATGGCACGAATATCCTTCTCATCCAGATTGTATTCCTTGCGAAATTCGAGCGTGTGCTTGGCAGCTTTGATGGCAGGTTCCACTTTTTTGTGAGACAGAAAGAACCGCAGTACCCATAAATCGTCGTGTTTGCTTTCGTCGTAGAGAGGATCGTCTTGCAGCGCTGCTTTGATTTCACTGATTTTCTCACTGTGCTCTTGGAACAAGTCTCTGACCGTCCGTCGATCGTCGTGTTCGGTCACTTGCTCTATCGGCTCTTCCACCATTGCCACACCAATGTCTTTCATCCAAGGCCAGGAAGTCATCTTGATATAATATAAACCACAAGGTACGGTAGTCTTAATGAACGAATGATTAGCTAGCTCTGTATAGCTAGTGGTTCGTATGTTATCTGTGTTAGCGCTAGTTCCAAGGGCCGTGTTGCCCTGAACCGGGGAGGTGAGAATTCAATAGACATTGACAACATGGCCGCTTGATTCTTTCGCAACAACGGCGAGCAGGAATGACTCGAGTGAGTCCCTTATAGAAATTTCATCCTCGCAAGACTTGTTGAGTCCAATGTTGAAGTGGACTCAGTCGGAGGAGTCGGCTGAGTCACTGATTATTAGTGATTGCCAGGTGCTGGAGGGCTGTTCTGTCAAAGGCTGAGTCACCAATTCGGGAGTTGCGTGTATCCCATGGATCTTTTTTGGGACAAAGTTTATTGGACCACCTGTTCCTTGTCACAAAGTGGGACCAGACCCAAGGCCAACCTGTCATCTTCTTATCTTCTTCGCAGCAATTGAGGGTGTAGAACATGCACCAGCTGTAATCGATCAGAACTGGAGAACAAGGTCATGTCATCAAGAAGAATCGGTGCTTGGGAAGAAGGGTCAAAGCAGGTGTTTTCTCTCACGAATGATCCCATGCATCACCACTTCTGATTGTGCGACCCAGATGTTGCCAATGCTTTGCATCTCTCTGGCTTCAACTTGATGGAGTTGCCACAAACTTGCCGATTGCCGATTGCCAAGAAAAGAGTTGACACTGAAAACTTGCAACATTCCATTATTATCTACCGTCCGTATTGAGTACTAGTATTCGTCGTTTGGTACCTTCTCGTTTTTCTTGCCGCTAGATACCCCTCAGGCTACTATACTAATCTTCATTCAAGCAAGCAATAGGATGTGCCATCAGCAATCACGCAGCAGCATACCAAAGAGGCGAAGAGTGACCTTCAAGTCTAGTGTTCATGTAGTCCACAAGCCATGCTCCAAAAAGGAAGCCAAGACGCTGTGGTATTCCAAGAAGGAACTGAAGAAAATCCGATTGGGGATCCGGTGCTCCTTGAAAAACCTAGAACTCGCCATTGATGATACCAGCAAGGAGCAGTTCCAATGGAGGGGGTTGGAGCTTGTCAAGAGGGGCTGCTCGGCGCTGGAATCACAACGGATACTGATCAAGGGAGTCTTGTCCTTGCAGAAGATGCACAAACAGTTGGGACTTCGAGACGAAAAGACGATCAACCTGTTTGCAACTGCATTCAATAGGGAGGCAGTGTTGCAAGCACAAGAGACTGCCAAAGAGGACTTTGTCGAAGCCACGCAAATCCACAAGGAAGGCGAACAAAACTAGCAGAGAGCTGGAAGGCTGGAAGGAACAGTGGAGTTTGTTAGGAGTGAGTCTGAGTGCATCCAGCAAGCTGCCAGACTACCAGTACACAGCCAAGGCGAAACGGTTACTGCTCCTTGAAACCTTAATAATTAGAGAAATTTTTTCATTAGACAGAAACTTTTATGTTACGTGCCTGTCGAACCTGAGGGAGTGGAGGTGCTTGGTAAACGCCTAGCTAGTTTCATCCGAAGTTGGTTCCTGTTGAGCCTCCTCTCCATCAGCAATTGGTTCCTGTTGGGTCTCCTCTTGACTTTCCGTTGTCTCCGCTGGTTCCGCTTCAGTTTCCATCTGCTCGGGAACAGGAGATTGGCTCTCCGTCTCCACGGGAGCAGATGCTTCACTTGCCGTTGTCTCTGCTGGGGGAGCACTCCGGGGCGGTGTTTCTGAAACATGCGAGGGGCCAAAATCGATCATTGTCCCGTCAGCTGCAGGCTCGCCACTTCCTTCAGCTTTCGTTTCAGCATCGTTATTGTCGTCTTTGCCTGCATCACTCGCACCCATTGGGGAATCATCAGTGCCCTTGCCAACGCTACCCACAGGCTTCTTTCTCTTCTTAAAGGGGTTCACTCGTGCCGTCTCTTCGTCCTTGTACACTTCGTCGTCCAACTGCTTGCGTGTTCGCTCTGCTTCCTCCGCCAAATGCAGCCTGGTCTTGGTGGCAGATCGAACACGCTTGATCTCGTTCTCAAGAAGCTCCGCTTGCTTGTGCAATGCCTCGAGTCTCTCCTTCTCGCTCATGGTGTCGTCGATCTCGATAGCATCCCAAGGTTTGGGCTGGTGATGATCACCACTCTCTTCGGGCATGTTGATTTCTCCAGCCGCAGCTCTGAACGCAAGTGCCATTCCGAGAAGCCCGGACGAATCCACTTGTGCCGCTGGAATACTCATGATTCCCGCTAGCCCCAGGCTTCTGTACTCCTTATCGGCTGCCATTCTCGTCAGGTAACCTTTCACAATTGCAGTCGCACGAGCTCTCTTTTCTAAGGCAAGGGCACTGGCTCCTTCCTTTGCCTTGTCACCTTCCATCTCTTCGTTGGGCCGTCTCCGCTTGCTCTTTTTGCTCGCCGAGCGAAGTAGCTTCTCTCTCTCACGAGATCTCTTCTTTCTGCGTCTCTCAATCTCCCGAAGTTCTTTCTTCTCCTCCCGCTCTTTCGTCTTTGCCATGGCATTATCCTTCCGCTTCTTCTTTGCTTGCTCCGCCTTGGCTTTCTTCGCTTTGTCCAGTTTTTCTTTCTTCTCGGCCTCTTGTTTTTGCTTTTTCAATGCCAGCGCCCGCTTCTTTGCATTCTTCCGTCCGGTGACACTGAAATCTATCAGGCCCCTAGTTGCGATGAGCTCGTTTGCCTCCTCCGCTTCACTCAGGGTCATTCCTTCGTTGTCATTGTACACATCATCAGCCTGAGATTGAACAAGAGGGGGGAAGAAAGATAAAGAGAGAAGGTGAGCCTGCATGCAGTTCATTCGGTTCTGTGAGTTCTGCTAGTGCCAGTGGCACCAAGGCCAAAGTCAAAGTGCGGCCTCACCTCGTCATCTGACACACACAAAACAGAATAGCTGTAGTTGCCGTCTTCGCCATCTTCGTCTTCACCGGGTTCTCCACAGGCGTCCTGCAATTGCAGCTCAAACTCTTCCAGAGCCCAACCTTTGTATGAAAGAGATATGTGAGCGACATGCTGCCATCATGGTGACGCAAGTTTCTGGTGTTTGGACATAATTCATTCTCTTACCCGCTTCCTCAATCGCTGCTTGGTACTTCTTGCTTCCAACTAGTGAAGAGTTCCGGCCCCCCGCCTTCTTTTTCTTGGTACCTTGTGGTGTCTTCATGTTGGGGTCGTCCTCAGGTTCAAAACTCTCTACGATGTCGGTCTCTCGAACCCAGATGAATTCGTGGGTACCCAGGAACTCCACCAAGAAGAAACTCTGCGGATCTGCTTGGCCTAGGGTCTGCTTTTTCAAGGCTTGTTCAGCCTTGCGTTTGCCAGTCCCGAGCTGGGCCCTGAGAGCCTCTGGTAGCCTGGCTTCGTTCCTCTCCGTAAGTGCTCCATGCCAGTCCTCTTGCTGATCGGCTGGTGCGAGAATACCTAAGACCAACGCTGGCCAATACGGTTTCTTGCTGCTTTCGCGGGCCCAAATGGCAGCAGCCTGAACAGGGCAGTTATTGCAGATGATGAGGCGCCAGTCAACAAACTCGCTGCCAACGACAGATTTGCTCCACACCAATTAACAAGTCACACGTACCATGCAACCCCAGATTGACGACTGGGTCACGCCTCTGCTGTTTGCCTCGTTGATTGGAACTAGAATCTTTCCAAACAACCGGTTCATGCGGTTTCGAACGCGGAACTTGATGCCTGGATTGTTTTCAAAGACATGATCGGCCGTGTAGCAGGCTTTCAAGTCGGTGTCGAACTGCTCGACCGTGTATTCGGCCTGCTCTTCCGACAGTCTATGGAGAGTGGTGCTGACTGTATTCAGCTTCTCGACGACAATTGCCAAATCCTTTCGATCCTCCACGTCAATGTCGGCCCCCAATGGGTCGGCCCCCGGAAAGATGGGCTCTTTGTCCAAACGATCCGCGCGCCCTTGGTTGGCAATAAACTCGCGGATTCGGTTCGAGCACCGTTTCAAGCAGTTGGGACTCATACAAGTAAGGCCGGATACAATCAAGCGCTTTTTGCGATCTTCTTCGCGAGTGGCAAACGCCTCTCGAATGTGTCTTGCCGCAGCGCTTTGGCCCGACTTTCCTTTCAGAGCTTTCGAGGGCGTATCGGAAGGAAGCATAAACTCCTGAAATAGATTGTTCCAATACTCCCGAAGATGAAGCGCAATGCTGACGAAGGAGGGGACACCTTCTCTGTTGGATGGATGGGAATGATACTTTTCGGCCACAAATTTTATTAATGGACAGTGAAGTCAGGTTGAGTGTTGCATCAAAAAATGACGACCAAGCAAACACAGAAAGCAGTACCTACCTTGACGCAGTTTGAGAATATTCTCCACATGTCAAGCTGCACTTCTCTGGTGTTTTTGTACTTTCGCCTTCCAATTTTCCGACAGACTCTTCCCAGGTCAATGGGATGCGAGACAATCTTGGAGTAGGCCGTCATGAGCTCCGGGTGCAGGAGTGTCACAGGACGGCTGAATTCTGCCAAAAGCGGAACTTTACAAAAGTGTTCCATCAAATGAGTGAGATTTTCGTATTCCGCTTCGGTGACGGGAACCGTGGGATCATCCAAGCTAGGTGCATGCAAATCAATGCCCGAGCTGCCAGGAGTTGTTTTGGGGGATTTTCGAGAGCCAGCCGTGGAAGGGGATTTTTTGGGTGCAGACTTTTTCTTCTTCTTGCTGCTGGCAGGTGGTTTGACTGGTTGAGCAGTGTATTCTGGATCGGGGGTTGCCGTTGCCATGACGACATCCGCTTTGCTTCCATCAGTTGCTGACTCGGACTCGACCACCGCTTCGGCTTCGGCCACTACAGCCGTAGCCTCCGCTACCGTGTCCACATTTTCCATTTGTGTTTCGGAATCCAATTCCTGCTTTCCTTGGTCAATAGTGGCTGCAGCCAGTGCGGCCGCCATGGCCTCGGGCTTTCCACGAATCCCACCGTATTGCGGCGGCTGTGGTTGTACGGAGGCTTGTGCTACTTCTTCTTCGTCCTCCTCCTCTTCTTCTTCTTCGTCCTCCTCTTCCTCATCGTCGTCACCTTCTCCGTATTGACTGGCAATTGCCGCTGCTTGAGCCTGTGCCTGGGCTTGGGCTTGAGCTTGAAAGTCTATTTCGACGTCCTCGTCCGCATCCTCGTAGCGATTGCTGTCATCTCCACTGTCATCCGACGCCGAAGACTCGGTGGGATGAGGCATCTTGGCAGCTGTTCAGCCTGGTAATTCGAGTGATACGATAGATTGTGATAGATGACGATAGATGGAATGTGGACGGTGGAGACGTGGCAGGTTTCAAGCTATCTCCGTTGCTCTATTGATAGTAGTAGCCATGCAGCTACGGCAAGACTAGACTAATCTATCTTTGGGTGCTTGGGCGCCATGGTCGAGACAAATTGAAAACAGCAGAGCTGGTGCAAATTTAGAAAACCGCAACCAAGGTGGTTTCCAAAGTTCGAGGCCCAAAAGGCTACTGCAACTTTGAAAGGTGGCGCCATCCTTGTTAAACGTCTATCGGTTTACTCTAAGCTGCTCACTGGCCCTCGCTCTAGTAGCTAGATAGTAGTAGCTGAAGCTTCCTTACACGCAAAGTTTGCAAGGGATGAATATCAACCGGACCAAAGCCTAGCCATGCGTTTCCATGTCCAAAATCTAGTTTCAAAATACATTTGAACCCTGAAGGATCTATCAACACAGACTCATCCGCCGTATTCTGCTACCAACAAGAAGAACAATGCCTGGAAGCTAGAGGTAGCCAAGATTGTGATCCAGCTAACTAACTATCCAGCTTCGCCATGTTTCCCACGGTGTTCTCCCCAAAAATGAGTATTCTCTTTTCCGACATGACCGGTGCATTATTGTTGTCATCTCCATCCATCAACAATAACTCCTGAATACCATAGTCTTGTTCCGCCCCTTCGGGTACTTGCCCACCAATAATGTAGAGTAGTTTGCCCGTGTCTGGTTTCAACAAGTGATGCATCCATCCACAGTACTTGGGCAACGATGCGACACTGCGTCCGACACACCAATCAAATGAACCATGGACTTGTTCGGCACGAGCATGCATAGTCTCCACATTGGTCAATCCCAGGCGAGTGACCATGTCATGGACGGCAGTCAATTTCTTTCCCACACTATCCACAAGTACAAACTGGCAGGAGGGCAGCGCAATGGCCATGGGAATGCCGGGAAACCCCCCGCCGGTTCCCACATCCACAATTTTTTGGTGGTTCTCACGATGATCAGCGAGTTCGACTATTACTGTGGGTGCCAAACAGGGCAAGACGTGTCGTCCAAAGACCACTTCGAGCGAACAATCCTTGCGTGACACGAGATTGATTTTTTGATTCCATTCCACAATCATTTCGCAGTACTGTTGTACTTGTTCTTGCTGCCGTGGCGACAAGCCCAGTCGTTCCGATAGCAAGGAGTGGGCAAATTCACTATATGGATCCAGTCGAAAGTCCAACGCATCATCGGTGGTTGCAGAAAGGGAAAATAATCTTCTTCTTGGTGTATGTAAAGACGATGTTTCAAAGCCATTGACAACGAGACTACTACTACTGAGCGCTTGGATCAGTAGCAGCAGCAGAAACTGCAGATTGGAAAGTAGTAAGGATATCATCTTATTGTCATCAGCAGCCTGGGGCAAGTTGCTTCAGGAATTGGACGGACGGGCATCATGGAGGCAGATCTTCGGGAATCTTTGATCTTTGAGCTGATCTTTGATGGCTGGAGCCATCTCTGGTTAACGCGGCAGAGCTGGCATCTCGGTAGCAGGTCCCTGAGTTATTCCTTCCGCCAACCTTCCATTGGATCTTGCTAGGGGGGCGCTACAAGGGCCATAGAAGATATTAATAGATAGACAATGAGTAAAGTTTTCATGGGATAGCTACCATCATACAGCATGGACATGGTCCATGGGGCTGCACTTCTATTTGGGCCGATCCTTTTCCCGTCCTACATGATTTGGAGCACTGATCACTAGGTGAGTTGAAGCTTCATCAGGAGATGCAGTGCAGTGATGCTGTTCCATTTTGGCTGTGTGCTTCCAAGTGCTAACCACGGGTGGTATTGATGCCAGCTACATTTTGATCGGGGCGATACAAGGCAAAAGTGGAACCGCAAATCTTTGAGCGTGGGCGCTACCGGTACGTCTGGGTGCTCGATACTTACTTGCAACAGAGGCGTCTTTTGTGTCTGTTCGGTCACTCATACCGTTTTGTAAATGCATATCATCTGTTCAAAACAGTTTGAGCCAGGAGTCTGCGTCTTGATTGCAGTGAGTATCGTGCTTTCCGGTGCCGTTTACCAGGTGCTTGAATGTATTGGTTGTCCGGACGGGGAAGCCCCCAATGAAACTCTGGGGAACAATCTGTACTTGAGTGCATTGACGTTTTCTGAGCATTTCAGTTTTACAACACGTACTCCTGGCGCAAAGTTGTTCGGCGCCTCACTGGCACTATGGGCATTGTTGGTCAGTTCGGCCTACACGGCGAACCTGGCAAGCTTCTTTGTCATTGACAATGCGCCGAATGTGCCTGTGGAGCATCAAGGATGCCGTCCGTCAGGGATTACCCCTGTGTGTGGCCAAGGGAACAGTGTCGGCAACGTTTCTGGAACGGCAGTATCCCAAAGCCGTCATTGGTCCAATGAAGTATGATTGATCTCTATCGTGGAGTCAACAGTGGAGATTGTGCTCTGTCGGTTGTGTCAGCGTCCAGTTTTCGAGAGTTTGAAAATGACAAGGTATCGAATGCCGATTGTAGGCTGGCTTCGGTTGCAGAAAAATCAAGTTGTCGATGCACGATTTGCTGGCAAAGCAGACTGTGGAAAGTATTGCACCAGCCTCATGCAGAATAGCATCGTTTATTGGATTTCTGAACCACCCATACAAAGCCGATGTCATTCAACCTCTTCACTGGATGGTCTGATGGTTGTTTCTTGTGGTAATATCGTCGTTGATCCATCACCCAATATCCCAAACCAGACACTTCCTTGTACTTTTTCTGTGGGACGATGCAGTGACCATCGGCTGCCTTGAACGTCACCAGCTGATCATATCTTCGATTCCAAATCATCTCTTCATTTTAAACTGCCTTTTTCCTGGCTTTTGGTTCACGACACGGTTTAGCGGAATTAACCAGTCTTTACCAAGCTCTCCAAATCCATCCTTCGTTCCGGAGATAATCGTCCTTTGTTGTACTTGTATCCCAGTTGGCTTGGGCTGCCCAATGCTCTTCCTTTCCATGCCTCTTTCGGCATACCCGACAGTGTCCATATTCAGCCTTGAATTCTCTCAACAACTGCAACATAGCTTGCCAGGATTCGGCTGCTCTCTCTTGGTTGCTCTTTCTCCGCTCTTCCTTCTTGTTGTTGTTCATGGTCGAGCGGTCTTGTGCCTCTCCGCGTTGTGCAAATGTAATGTCTGCTTTGATTCGATACCTGGTGGAAGAACCTGGAGGACGCTGACCGGGAACAGTATCCTGTGAACAGCAAGGGGTATGGTAGGGCGTTGTACGAAGGATCCTTCTGCAAACAATGCCAACTGGACGGTCTGCATGTTACTCGACTGTCATTGGACTGGAAAAGCGCATTAAGCCGGCTGGGTCTGAGAGGACCGCTTCTCTTGAGGCAATGGAACTACCGTATAACAGAGAACGGGCAAGTGTTCGATGCGGTAACACTGTACCGGTTCCGTACATTGTCCAGTACCTGTTACTGTTTACGGTACTGTTTGTTATCAGCGGTACAGTACGGTAGGGTCCATCGCAGTCGTTGGAAATTGATCGTCACATTTTCGACGCAAGGTCTGTTGAAAGCTTTGTCTGTGTTCTTCTCCAATCAAGACGCCACAATGAACTTTGATGAGACCTTGGAGACCGTTCTTCAAGCCGCTCTTGAAAGATGCACCATGCGGATGCTGGAGAATGCTCGACGCAATCGCGACTTTGACGGAGAAGCGGAACTGTTACTAGAAGTCTATAGATTCTATAGAATGAAAAAAAAATCTGTAGAATGGTCTGATTCTATAGAATACTTGAAGAAGGTATACTAGAATTCTATAGAATCAGATCAATCTATAGAATCAAAATATGTTAGAATCTGTAGAAATCTTATTCTATAGAATCACACATCATATTCTATAGAATCAATTAAATTTTCTCTTGATTCTATAGAATCCTAGTCTTTTTTTTCTGATTCTATAGAATAAAACATGAAAATCTGTAGAACAATGTTGTTTGCTTTGGTATACCAGTGCGGCACCGGCTGATGTTGCCATTCAATGACTCGACGACATTCAGGCTGGTGATATCGGTAGGGCTGGAGTGAGTCAACAGAGCCGCCTTCATCAATCGACAGACTCGACTCTCTTCTTGTTATCCGGTGCGAGCTGTGGTGTAGCCTCCTCTGGTTGATTGTTGCCTTTCACTGACTCGGCGACTTTTGATCAGGCTGAAGATAGGGCTGGAGTAAACAGAGCCTCCGTCTCTTGTTCTTATATGGAGCGATCCATCGAAAATGGTAGCTTGACTGTCAGCTTGAGTGAGGCTTGTTAGTAGAGGTGCTGCGATCGATCGACTCGAATAACTAAAGAACAACTCACCTGTTGAAGGCCGAGATCTGACTGCCTTCCCCAGGTCCATAGAAATAAAAGAGGGATGGCTTTCGAATCTACACCTTCAATAAAGCAATCTTGATAATAGGATTACCTCGTGGTTCGATCTGGTGCGAGGAATCTGGAAAATGGGGATTCTCAAGAATCAGTTTTGGTTTTTTGCTGATTCTTAAGAATCACCAGGCACCCAGTATGCTGTCCAGTATGCAGCCTATCATAGCAATATGCACTTAATAGCTAGCTAGCAATGCTATCCCCTGATACTATCTGCTAACCAACAACAATCTTTGCTGATTGGAACAGCCTTGTAATGATGTAGCAGTGATGTTACAACCATTGCAATGGAGTCTTTCTTGATTTTTACCAGTATTCCCAAGATTCAGCATATTTGCATGGAGGATTCTTAAGAATCATCATAATTTGGAGAGGATTCTTAAGAATCAGTAAAAATTATTCAATGATTCTTAAGAATCAGCAAAATTGTTTTGCTGATTCTTAAGAATCAGCCCATGATTCTTAAGAATCAGTAAAATGATTCTTAAGAATCTTATTTTTCCAAGATTCCTTGTCTACCCTGTATATGATTCTTAAGAATCATAATTTTCCCAAGATTTTTTCCTTAAGAATCAGATTATTCTTAAGACTCCTCGTAACAGATCCATTCAACACCACACTTTTGTCGGCCAAGCTTGGATTCCTCTCCTGTTTACCATAGGCACTCTTGTCTGTCAAGCTTGGATATCTCCCCTGTTTGCCATGGGGATTCAATGAGGGAGAGAAGTTAGTGCTGCGCCTTCAACAGTAGACTTGATAGTTGGCTTATCTCGTCCTAACAGTAGTAGCAGTAGTAGCAGTAGCGATTGATCGATCGACTATGGACTGATGAGGCTGTGGATCGATGCCATGTGTTGCTGTTGTGGTTGTTGTTGCTTGCCGCTGTGAGTTGAGCTCGCTGCACCCTTTTCTGCCCCTTCCCATTCTATAGAATGAAAACGTCTGATTCTATAGAATCAGATATCATTCTATAGAATGGTCAATTCCATAGACTTCTCGCATCAGAACCACTGGAGCCTTTGTGGCTCACCGAACGTAATTCTCGTGCATTAACGTCGCGTGGTTACAAGTTTGTCATTAAACGCAGCGCCGAATTAAAGCATCTGAATGGCTACGTCGCCCTCCCACGATCGCATTTTCTCTGGGGGAAAGAATACGACGCCTGTTCCTGTGAGTACCAGGTACCGGCCCACGTGGAATGGACCTTTGCCGAACCCAAATCGAGCGTAGCGGCATGGCATCTTGATGGATATAGCATTGACGACGATGCCTGGATCTTCGGCTTTGATTGTGCCCAAGCGGAAGACTTCATTCCTGCATTACCTGACCGCCGCATTTCCCTAGTTTCCGGCAATCTGAAACGATACCGCGATATGGATTACGTCGAGTCGAAGCTCAAGGCAGCAACGGAAAAATTCTTCGAGTTGGCTCAGAAGCATGATACTGCTCAGCAACAGAACACTGCTACTCAACAAGCCGATGAAAGTGACTAGAGGTCTTCTTGTCTCTTCGAAGGAATCGGTGGTGAACAAAACAAGAATTTATGACGATTTCGTGTGCACGAGGAAGAACATGAAGCAGACAACCAATGTAACGCAGTGTAACGAAGATTACGATGACAGGCGATGGCAACGAGAAACGAACAACAAAGACTCACTGATGATAGCTAGAGCCTTGATACGTACCTGTATTTGACGTCGCAACTTGAAAGGCACTCCAACGAGAAGAATATCGAGTACTAGTACCAGTAATCAATCGCAGCAAGGAATTCAAGCCAAACCACACATACTAATAGTCCTAAGCCAAAACAAGTTGTATCGTGCTACTAAACGCAAAATAGGACACTCGACTGAAAGCGAAATAGTGAGTTGATCGTTCACAAGCCATTGCTTTCAAGGAGAGGCACATCACGTTGCACCTGATACTCTGTGATTGGTCATCCAGCTCGAGTGCATGAGAATCAAACATTGCTGACGATGCACCCGTTCGTGGGGCAGCGAGGACTACTAGCTAGAATTGTCAATCCCATGCAGCTACATGGTTCACGCAGTCCTTCCATCAAGCTTCTTTTGGGTATGGAGTCCGCTCATTTGAACGCTATACTCAGTATCCCAGTAGTACGGTACCGGTACCTACCGTGCAGCATTAGAAACACATTTCTTTATTCACCTTATATTCTTATGTGCAAACCACATGCATTTGAATGCTGTGGTGCTTTTCTTCGTGATGGCAACAGTATCCGCACAGACAAATACACCATTCTTCGTATTCTTTTCTTTTGTATGCAAACAAGTAAGAGTCTGATACAGCCTGGTACGTACTGTAGCCATCTTGGTTTGGGCGTTGCAGAACAGTCAGGGTTGGGGAAGTCAAACCACGCCCAATCATTGTATACTAGTATATCAGCACTGCTGGTACCACAGCTGGCGGCCTGAATAGGGGCAACATTGCTATAGCACAAATAGCCTAAAGGTACGGTACCTGTACATCGTACTGTACGGTACCGTCGAGTGGACAATGCCAGCAATGACGTCAAAAAAACAAGTGGATGCAAAAACAAGTGCGCTCTCTTCGTAATTTAGAGCAAAAAAGTGCGCTGCTTCTTAAGCAAGTGTCCCCTCGCTCTCATTTTCGATGCATTGGATATTCTTGGAGATTAGGCTCGGTGTGACTAAATCTCTATTCGCGGATTACGTAGATTTAGACTGCCTCGTCAACTCCGATTGGCGACGGTTACTTATCCTAGCTATGTCTTCGAGCTTAAACATGTAACACACATATATGCGAAATCGTGGCTAGCGGTACCACAATTGCCACATTGCCACCATAGCACCGTACCGTATCATCCAACTTATTTTTTGTCGACGGCATTACTCTGAGTAGATAAGATGGCGAAGCAAAGAGGTATCAGACGATGGGCAAGAGATTCCCTCCGTCTCACCAACCCAAAGAATAATGGAATTGCAAATTTCAGTCGAGAAGAATTTACCGTGCTTGGAGTCTTGGGCGAAGGAGGTTTTTCGACTGTGTACGAGGTTTCCCACCATGCTGCTTCCTGCAACACTGTGGAATCACAAGAGCAACGGAAGAATCAAGAAGTACAGCAGTGCATTTACGCAATGAAGGTAGTGCGAGAAGATCTTCAAGATTGCAAAGAACTCATGAGAAAGGCATACAAGGATCTCGTCAATGAAGCCAAAATCATGTCCAAGTTGGACCACCCCAATATCCTTAGACTTCGTGGTGTGCCCAAATGTCCAGGAAAATGTTATGGTGACTTTTTTATCGTCGCAGATCGATTGGTTTGTACATTATCCGAACGTATTCAGAAATGGAAGGCCATGGCACAGAGTCAAGAGCAGCTTTTCCCACTCAAAGCAAACTATGCCTTTCAGCTGGCCACGGCTCTCCAGCATCTCCACAATCATCAAATTATCTACCGTGATTTGAAAACCGAAAACATTGGTTTCAAAGCAGATGATACCGTTCAGTTGTTTGATTTTGGAATGGCCAGGCAACTTGGAGGCAGCCCACGGCGCCGTGAATGGCTGAGATCGTCCGCCTCATTCGATAGCGACAGCGACAGCTCTGCCTTCAGCAGTGACTCGCAAGAAGAAGTTTTCAAAATGACTCGATGTGGCACACAAAGATACATGCCAAGAGAAGCACTCCTAGGTGGACTCTACAGCCTGAAGAGTGATTGCTACTCCTTTGCTCTCGTGTTTTGGGAGATGCTGACTGAGACCAAACCGTTCCACTACATGACGCCTGCTGTACATAAAATTTTGGTTTGTGAAAAGGGTGAACGGCCACCCCTTGCAAAGCACAGCTTTCCTTTTGAAATTGAAGACTTGCTCAAGAGAGCCTGGGAAGATGACATATCAGAACGATTGACAATGACACAAATCTGCGACAGACTCTTTCTCATTGTAGAAGACAGGCCCAGAAAAAGCTCAAACAACATGACGCAAGACCACTGCAGGAATGCTAATACTAGAGTTACGGTTGGCTTGTCCATGGCAGTGGAGGTGGCAATTGACGCGGAATGTACCCATGAAATGAGCATTGAAGTGACGCCAACCTGGCTGCCATCCTTTGTACCCTTTGTACCCTTTGACGGTGTTGGAGAACTTATTACCCCTGTGATTTCATGAACTGGCTCTAGCCTTTTGAAGGCGTTTCAGCGTCTCATAGAAGACAGACTCAAGTTACGTTTACTTGAGCAACAAAGACTGTCGACAAGTGGAATGGCGTTAGCCCTTGAGCAAAGACATACAGCAGAATAAGTTTCTCTTTAGAAATTTGAAGGCGACCATGTCCTACTGTCAAGTTAAAACGAGTAGAGCTGGTGCCTTGCAGTGTTGATCCGACGTTCCTTCTGTGCGGTGCCAAAACTACCGTAGTGCGACAGCATAGTGACGCAGACGGCCCTTGTTCGCACACAGAAACTGCAACCATCTCTATGACATACATGTAATCCTAATAGCTAGAAGTTTGAATCCAGAGCCAAGCTCCCAGAAAGATGCAAAGCGGCTGAAGGCCCAAGAAGACCAGAATAACACAACGACGTCAGAAGCTTTTAAGAAGTAGTCGATGATTTATTCTTAGTTTAGATACAGTAGCTTCTTGCCTAACGGCAACATAATATGCTCCTACTCTGTGCTCGGAGGGGGGTTGATCACTGTTTTTCCAGCGTGTACGGTGCCACATCAATTCACAAATCTACAACCAAACACAGTGATGAGGGGTGCCAATTCCATTGACCTGGCTGCCATCATCGGGGGATGCCGAAAATAGGTTGCCTCAATTGCTCCGACTTGGCAACATCGTAATCAAACTAGGAGCAGTACAAAACTTCATTATGTATTGTGCTAGTCTAGCAGCTCGACGATCGGCGGCCGCGTCGCCCGTGTTGTGGTTAATGTTTGCCATCCCTCGTTGTGACGAGCAAGGATGGAAGTTTGACTGGGGTATCTACAGATGTCTGGGGAGGCATCACCTACCACCATGAGTTTGGACCAATAGGAGAAAGTCTGTGTCACAGCTCCAGCTCTTACTCCCTCTGCATTCTCTGTGGACAGCACCTCTTTGCTGATGTACCACAGGATTGTCTGTCGCAAGGTAGGATAGAACGAATTGAACACAACGGAATGAGACACGATAGAATGTTTACTCAGGATGACTTTCCAGATCGCTTGGCTCTTACCTCATTTGAAAATCTCTTTGCAATTATGCAACGTAGCAGCTGGCCCGGATGGGCCACTTCGCTCTCTAGCCTCCCCCTGTGGTCGGCATTGGCTATATTTTCTCTCATTCTAATAGTTCCCTGTGCTCTAAGGATTCTTCTCTCTGGGAACCGCGGCTTTGTGAATATGAACCCGTTCCCGTTACTCCCTGTACAAAAATAGATTCCATTGTATTCAGGGTCACCCGCATTTGTGACAATTACCCTTCGTCCCAGTAACAGGACGGGTACTCTCACATGCGGGTCTCTTATGTCAGTTCCAATGCCATCAATCTGTTCTTTCGCTCGTAGTAGCTTCATGACGTTGTTCAATTGCCTGGCTTGTGCAACATCATAGGTCCGTTGGGCTGCACTTCTGTGTGCCAGTTCTCGAAAGCGTGAACAAGTCATTGATATCCGCACTAAGGATCGACATTCCAGGAATTCAAATGCCCTGAGGACAGTGTCATCATCAGCCATGTGTTGTAGGAAGGAGAAATCTCTGCCGTGTACTTCAGAAGGGGCCATCGGTTGCCCCAAAGGATCTCTCGGTACAGGCACAGCTTCTGCTTCAGCCTCAGCTTCTTCTAGCGTCATGAAGCTTCGACTTCGAGCAACATCGCTTCTATGGACATTTGCCAACCGCTCAAATGCGGCGATAAAGTCGTGATATTCTTGGGTTTGTTGAAGAGAAGCAACGTCCTGACGAGGTATTGAAACAAGCCATCGACCACATCGTTCCAGGTGGTCCTGAGAAGTCGATGGTACCGACTGTGACATGTTATCACTGGGCTCATATTCGCTGTCCTCGACGTCAAAGACGGCATCATGTAGATGATCCATTGGAAGGCAATCCAAGACGATTGAAGGTTGGATTGGTCTGAGATTCAACAAGAGCTTCATTTACGAGACGTTGCCTCATCGGGCGCCTCCGTCGAGCGAACCACCACCGTGAGAGAAAATAGTGCAGCACGAGGCTCCCTCACAGTCGACAGATCCGCAGTGAAAGGATTTCGGTCACAATGGTATCTTCTTTGCCTTTGCAGGTGGATTTTGTGAGCGTGGGTTGAAATTTATTGATTCCCGCACGCAGGTGAGACGCTCATCACAACGAAACCAGACAACCAGAGGACTTCACACACACAACGATTGAAGCAAAAAGACGCCAATGTGTTTTCCCAAGCGGCTCCTACATGAGAAAAGATCTACCGAGTCAGATAGGGCCTTCGCGAGAGAAGAGGACCTTAAAAGTGTCAATAGTCGCAAGTCTCGATCAATGCCCTTTGACTCGACTCTTTACAGGGAGAAACCAGCAAACCAGCAGCAACCAACTCAAGGGCGGCCGGTCTCTTCATGCCAGCACCTCGGAAGTCCATCCCGGCGGCCGAGGGAAGCTATGTCAAAAGCCCAAAATGGATTAGCGTCGAGTAGTGTTTCAGTCGCTGTGTCGGCCAGCTGGAAGCCATGCTCTTATGAGAAAACTCGAAAGGATCCAGGAGAAAGCTCCATGGTCCTCCTCTTGTGCTACATTGTGTACTACGGTAGCATTCTCGCTCTGATATCATGATCACCGGGTATGCCAGGTAGCTACCGGTACGGTAGCTAGCCACATTGAATGCAAGCCGCAAGGACGGCCTCCTTTCGTGAGTGACGTCAAAGCAAAAAGTTGTGGTTTTGGCACGCCTAAAATGCCTCATCGCTTCTCATACCGGTACTCGGGCGGTCTTTAGGAAAAAGAATATGATACTAGCTAGCTAGAACCCACAGCTCCACTTGCCGCTCATCTTTCCTTTGGAAACTCAAGTTGACCTTTGGCATGGAAGAACATTGTCTTGTTCTTGAGTGAAGGTAAAAGAAATTGAGAATGGCCCACTGGCGTCCATGCAACGCCTTCTTTGTTTCCAACTGTCACCACCGCTACATCGAGTCCTTCTTTGGCCTTGACCAACCTGGCTTCTTTGGGGGGCATGCAGCCATTCGCAATGGCATCCAGTGTCACAATTAGATTCTTTCCGATAACTTTCATATTGTTTAGGTACTTGTTCCCTGCATTGGCCAATAGTGTGGAGCAATCTCCAATGCAGAACATGTTTGCTTCCCCTTTCATTCGGAAGCAGTCGTCGGTTTCAATCCATCCCTGTTGGTTCAGCGATGCTTCAAAACATTCCTCCAAGAAACCATTGACAGGCAGGAGGCCAGTGGTGTAAATCACCTCATCCGCCACCAAGGTGTCACCCGAGTGCTTCAGGACAACTGTACCATTCGGCTTCTTGTCTGCCTTGTCATTGAGAATGACCTTGACTCCCAATTTTTCCAGCTTCTTTTGTACCATTTTGCTGGCTTTTTGTGAGATTTCATGGTGACAGAGGCTAGCACCAGAATGCACCAAGGTTACAGACACAGGCTGGTTCCTCTGTTTGGAGTATGCACTGATATCTCCTGCGAGCTCACATCTATTATTGTGAGGAAATTGTTAGTGAGAGATAGCAATCAAACGGTACCTTGGACACACAATCTTTGTTGTCTTACCCGATGAAACCTCCACCAACAATGGCGACACTGTTAGAGTTCATGATTCTGTCTCCCGCCTCTTTCATTTCCTTCAAGCGACTCTCACGTGTCCCGTCGCCCGAGGGCAGCCCACGTCCCATCATGGCAGATTTATCTGCGGCTCCTGTGGCTACCACGCAGACGTCAAAGGCAATCACCTCACCATTCTGCAGCGTTGCTTCGCGGCGAGTCAACTTGACCACATATGATCGAACATGCTTGACTTTGTGCTTCTTGGACCAAGCGCCCAAGGAAGCTAGAGAATCCTTCGCAACCCAATCTTCAAACGGGCTCTGTGGCGAATCAAAAGGATAAGCGCAGCTGGCATGTTAGGGTACGGTATACGCTGGCGAGGACCCCTGCTCCCTCCTCTACTGGCTAGTGACTCACTCGGTAGGCCGCCCAGAAAATCTCACAATGATCTTTCGGGTCAACCAGTATGATATCTGTTTTTCCCTTGTCAAACTTCCTCAACCCGACGATTGCTGAGCAACCGCCAACCCCACCACCAATCACAAGTACAGTCGACATTTCCTCTCTCAGCTCGTTATCATACAACAAGTCTATGGCTCCTGTCACCTTGGGTATCAAATCATCACACAGTTCAGTTTCTTGGCGCATGGTTAATACTCAGTTTCACAGGACTGCTCAAGCAACATCTCCACCGTTGGCAACGTCAGATTGCTTGCGAAGGCAATGCCATGGTCTGGTCGAGTTCACCTCGGTTCTCGGTTCTTGATGGACAGAGATTTTAATCGTGTGTAAATGGGGGTGCCCAAATAGCTTTGACGGCTCAAAATGACTGACGTATTTTGCAGGCCGATGACACAAGCACATCAAGCATTCTCGCACTGACTTTCTTCCTTCGTGGACGGCACATTGGCATTGTTTTCTTTTTCTTTCAGTTTGTTCTTCTCTGTTGTGTAGTAAACATCCCATTCACCACGCACTGATTCCGAACAGAACATTCTGATCATCTCAACAACTGATCGTCTCAACAACAGCAACCACCACCACGGCAGATCAAGTTAAAGCAAGTGGCAGAAGAGGTTGATACCCACAATTTTTCAACATCATTACTGGGTTGTCTTTTTGTGTCACCAACAAGATGAATCCTCGTTTAGCCCGTGCCTTTTATCGCTCATATTTGCGACTCTCTCAGAAGGGGCATCATCCCCAAATCTTTGGTCGCTATGGGGCCGCCGTCTTTGCTCAGCAGAGTGACCAACTGAATGAACATGCTTCCTTGGCATTGCCGTCGTCTCCCGCACAAGTCCGGAACCGGCTCAAACAATGGTTTCGATCCGATGAAAAGCCTCTGGACAATGATACTGCTACCTGTGCTGTATTGCAAGAAATGGCTCAGAACCCACTGGACGTCTTTCGTCGGATCCACGAAAACCAAAATATGCTACCCAATACCCTGTCGGGTGCCCAGTTGCCCATCTTTGACTATGATGGGATGGCTGCCTTGCCAGGTGAACGATTTCAAACCCTCTTCTTGGAACCCCGCTATGTCCATGGTCTCTTGCCACTCGTTTTGGCATCCTCCAATCAACACTTCTTGTTGCGCCCTCACAGGCAGGCGTCCACTGGCACCTTACTCAAACTAGTGTCCCATCAACATGTGCATTTACCAGCCTGTACCATCGGCAAAACAATGACAAACCAAGAACAGCCATCCTCAAATGACACGGCGGAAAGTAAGACAAATGACGACCAAAGCAGTCAGTTGCAGGAACCAGAAAAGAGGAGGATTGCCGGTGTGGCAGTGACTTGTGCGGCGGGGTCACTTGTCCGGATTGAAGAAGAAGAGCAAATTGATGGACTCTCAGAGTACATGCAACTCTACGCAGGTGCCCTCTTACATCGCAACAAGACAGGAGAAGAACAACCGTTGGAGGATGATCCAGAATGCTGGAGTACCAGCAAGGCGCCGCTGGCCTTGGCGACCCATTGCAGCCATCACTACGATGACCGTGACTGGATGACAAGCGATCATGAGGCCGAAACACGACAGTACATTCTACACTTGCTCCAATGCGTCCTGGCGTATCATGACACGGACTTTGCTGAAACACTGGTTCAAACTGGCTTTGGACTACCACCATTGGACGCCCAAGCCTTTTCCTTTTGGGCTCTCCGGTTTGTCTTGAGGCAAGATGATGTGGAAGGACGTCTTCATTGGCAGCAAGACTGCCATTCTATCAGGCAACGTCTTGAGTTTGTGTTGCAAGAAGCGGAAGCCATTTTGGATGCTCAACAAGAGGAAGAAGAGGAGGAAATGGTGGGAGCCAGGTTCGGATAGGGCACTGCCGCTTTTTGATATCTTTGATTCGATTCAATCATTCACCCAGTTATTGGATCGTTCTGCATATTATTTCACGAGGGCGCGTTCGAACAGACCAACAATTTTGAATGACGACACTACTACTATTACATAACAGAGGAAGTATCGGCTATTTGCGATATAGCTAGCATAGTCACGTTATATATCTAGCTCTCGTCATATTCTTGAAAGTCTCATTGTGGCTGAAGTATGCACCGGTAGATTGTAGACTACTAGTACTAGTAACCTTGATGATTGAATGACCTCAAGAAGCGAAAAACAGCTAGCTAGGATTTGTCGCTACAAGGAGTTCTTTCTTCTTGGCCGGCGGTGGGGTGTCGTTTTCTGTCTCCATGTCTTCCTCTTCATCCTCGTTTTCACTATCGGACCACGTATCTTGTGAATCGTATCGATCCAAAGTGATGGTTCTTGCAACCGTTTCAATGTTGTCGAGATCAAGTCCTTGCTTTTCCATTTTTTCCAAGGGATCTTCCAGAAGCTCCTTTGGTCTATCACGGAGCAAATTGTCATCGGCCACAAAGAATGAGTCATCTTCCTCCATGCTTCCCCAATTGTACAAGTACACGGTTGTTCCCAGCGTTGTTTCAATGATGGTTGGATTCCAACCTTTCATTTCGTAGGCACACGTAATGATTTTGCATTGTTTTCCGGCCAACTTTTCCTCCAGAATGGGCCGAATTTGCAGCAGAGCATCCTCCACAAAGTACATGGTAATAATAGTCGCTTCTTGCAGGATATCCCATACGTGCTGATTGTTGTTGTAGTCCAATAAATCTGCCGTGATGAATTCCAAGGGCGGCTGTGGGTACCTCTTGGCGAGTCTTTCTCGTGCTCGTTCCAAGATCCCGTCGTCGACATCAATGCCGGTTGATTTCTTTACGCGACCATGATCAATGGCAAAGAAATTAACTCGTCCATCGCCACAGCCCAACTCGACATGAATCTAATTAATGTTAAATAATGATTTAGAGACGGAGAACATGTAAGAGTTAGTCTGCTCCATCAAACAAACAAACAGCAAAACCAACACGAATAAGCGCAGCAAGAACTTACATCATCGGGCCCTGCGGCAGACATGTCAAAGAGTTTTCTGGCAATGGGATCCGGTATGGGAACCCAGGGGCTCAGTGATGTCTTTTTGAAGTACTCGTCCGAGCTTTCTCCTTCCGTGCCGCCATACGAGTACGGTTGATTCAGTGAGCTAGTCGCCTCCGGCAGCTCTCTCGGAGGCATTGTTCCTTCGATTTTGACAGTGCCAAACTTGGCGCGCTTTCGACGACGTATACGACTTGAGGCGGTGGAAGAGAGGGATCTCGTCGCCGTTGTAAAGGGTGGTTGCCAACCGGTGCCAGCTCCGAGTGCAGCCATTACTTGTGGATGGTGCCTTGGATAAGAGTTCGTTGCCCTCAATAATCTCCAGGAGAGCATACCCGATCGTTGCCATCGGCTCATCATTATTGTCATGGTCTGGTCTCGCTAGCTAGCTAGAGATGGATGATGATGCTGTAGCTGCAGGGCAACTTCTCTCGAGACACCGTTGGTTGATGCCCGAATTAGCTTTTGTGTGATGATGAATGGCCTGGAGAGGGATTGCAAGATCGCGATCTTGTTAGCTCGGGAAGGGAAGGATTAGTCAAAAGCCAGCTGACGCGGATAAGACACAACGTTCTGACGGGTCAGCAATTCTCCCACCCATGTTGGAAAGCACGGATGGCAGAGATGCATCCAAAGCTTCACGAGTAAGTGCAGTGGCTGGCAAGCAAGACAAAAGCTCTACACAGTGTAGTACAGGCTGCCTTCTCCAATGCTACCGTAGAAGTCACATTGTGGTTGACCGATGGATAACACCATGAAAGATTGCGAATGTGAAGGCTTGGACCGGCATCGTACCTCTACCGTACCATGGGGCCTCTGCCAACAACCGGCGAGAGTGGCTCATTTCTTCACAGGTCCAATACGACGAAAGCAGGCATCATTTTGAATTCAAGCAAACTATTTATTCTTTCTACTATTATTATATTCAGCTGCAACAGTGTGGGGCAGCTACCTCATCACATACACTGTACCGGTACCGGTAGCAACCATTACGAAAACCATCAACATGGCCATGGCAATGCCAACATGGGTCATTGCCATTTGATAGTCTCAACAGCATTTTCATAAAATAAGTGCTCATATTATCTTGAACACTTGTCTCCATGGAGATGCACCCAATACTCAACAATTCCTTGGACTTGGTAGTGTCAAAGTAGCAGTTGTAGCAAATGCTGCCCAGGACCACATTCAATGCATGGGCTACCGCACCGGTACCGGTATGATGAGTGATCAAAGCTTGGCTGAGACAAAAGCATGTTTCCTTACGCGGTCGAGACGGGGAGCAAGCTCTACATTTGGTTGTCGTTGTTGGCATGCCCCAACGAAGTTTGTGCTCAGGCTGCGCAGACACCAGCATCAATTTTGGGTTCACGGACAAACACAGATAGAATAAATTGAGGGTTGAATCACACTTCGAAAGTTAATCACACTTCTTCGTTCAAAAGAGCACTTTCTTTGCTCCTGAGCTCCTGATGAGGAGTATCATAGTGACTGGCGGTACCTACATACGTGTACCGGTGTATCACTATTCATTCGATTCCGGCGCATTCGCGGCTCCAGTCGGATCTCTCCCATCCCGTTCCCAATTTTAGTACCATCGTAGGTCCTGTTTTGTCGTGAGGGACGGTCAGTGAACAGTCCTGACCCAAATCCGATCTCCACACAAAAAAGATAGCTAAACAAAAGCTAATCCCAGCACATTCTGAAAATACCGATAACCCTAGCTAGCTAGCAACGAAACAATGAGCTCTTCTTCAAGCTTCGACGAAACGAACATCGTGGTCCACCTCCACCACCCCGAAGAACACAAA